GCCCCATAGGGAGCTCCACCGAAGGCCCCCGTGGGGGTGTTCGCATGCGGTTCCCCACCCAGGGCAGCGTTTCGTAGCCCCATAGGGAGCTCCACCGAAGGCCCCAGTGGGGGTGTTCGCATGCGGTTCCCCCACCCAGGGCAGCGTTTCGTGGCCCCATAGGGAGCTCCACCGAAGGACCCAGTGGGGGTGTTCGCATGCGGTTCCCCCACCCAGGGCAGCGTTTCGTGGCCCCATAGGGAGCTCCACCGAAGGCCCCAGCGGCTGCTCTCGCATGCGGTTCCCCCACCCAGGGCAGCGCTTCGTGGCCCCATGGGGAGCTCCACCGAAAGCCCCCGTGGCGCAGTTCGCATGCGCTTCCCCAACCCAGGGCAGCGTTTCGTGGCACCATAGGGAGCTCCACCGAAGGCCCCAGTGGCGCAGTTCGCATGCGGTTCCCCCACCCAGGGCAGCGTTTCGTAGCCCCATAGGGAGCTCCACCGAAGGCCCGCCCCGGTGGCGCAGTCCGCATGCGGTTCCCCATCCAAGGCAGCGCTTCGTGGCCCCATATGGAGCCCCACCGAAAGCGGCACCCACAACGCGTTACCAACAATTGCTTATGGTTGGGTCTTTCGCCAGGATAATTGTTTTTTTGTTTTTCCTTTTTATATTTAATATATATATATATATATCTATATATTATTTACCTATATACTATATATACTATATATATATATATATATATATATTATATATTATTATATAATACGAAAAATTCGGGGGCGACGATAGGGGCGAATGGGCCAGGGGGGGGGGGCGTTGCGAGTGTTCGCCCGGGAGCGTCGCCGAAGGCCTGGGCCATCGGCGCCCTCTCGTGCGTGTGCTGCTCTCCCCTGGGCTCTTCGCCCCCGTCGTCGCCCCGGAGGTGGCCAGGGGCGGCGTCAGGGCGGGGTGGGCGCAGGGGGGGCCGCGTCGACCCCCGATCGCCCACGGATCGCCGACGGGGGCCCGATAGCCCCGCCCCGCCCAGAAACGTGGGGGCTGGCCATCAGGGGCTTGTCGCCGATCTATCGGCGATGCGCCTCCGATCCCAGGTCGATGTCCCCCCCCGCTTTGCCGGCCCCCGCCTGTGGGTTGCCCCTCGGCAGACGGCCCCTTCTCGTGGCGCCTTTGATGCGCGGCCCAGTGGGGCCGAGTAGGGGGTGCGCGGGCGCGGGCTTCGGCCCTTGCTGGCCCCTGATGGTGGCCTGGCGTGCGCGGAACGCGACGCGGGCCTCGACGGCGTCGGCGTGCCGCTAGGGTGCGGGCGGTTGCGTTGGTGGGCAAGGTATCAAGAAACATATGCCCCAAGTGAGAGAACGTCGTGTAGCGGTCCAGCGTTCGAAGGCTTCCAGCGGCATCTTGCAGCAACAACTGCAGTTTTTCAGCGCATCAACGACAAGATGATGACGATTTTTGTCAAGAGGCGTTGGTCGTGGACGGGCGACGACTTCTGTCGTGGAGAGGTGGAAGTAATGCTGTGTTTGGATCAGCTCGCTGCTCTGTAGATTCGCTGTTAGTACTTCGCGGGCATGGTTGTCCATGTCAGTCGCCACTTTGCATTAACAAGTAAAGTTGGCACGACGCTCGGCGAGAACAGCTTATGTGGGCGCAGGTGCGGTGCATGTGAGCCTTGGGGCCATGGCGCCAGTTTACCTTGGGGCATATGTGCTCACGTGTGTGCGCAGGCCGACGACCTTGAAGCGTTGTTTTCGAACGGGGTCGGTGGCGATCTT